TTTTCACTTAATAATTAAAATTTAATAAAAATTATATTATTAAATTTTTCTTAATCTAATATAAATTAATTAAATTATTATAGCTTAAAGTTAATAATAAAAATTTTATTAAACCTGAAATTGAAACAAAAAAAATAAATATTTATTATTTTGATTATATAATACTTTTTTAATACAAAAATAATATTACTATATATAAATTATTATTAGTTATTTAATAATTAATAAATTGAATTTATTTATATTAAAATTAATATATTATACTATATTTTGATAGCAATTATTTACTAATTTAATATATTAATTATATTTTAAATATTTTTAAATAATTCTTTAAATATATATAATTATACAAAAAAAGTTTTATATAATTAAATATTTTTTATACTTTTATAAAATTTTTTTTTAAAAAATAAAATTTCTTGATGACTGATTTTGTACTTGATATTAATTAGTAATTTTATAATTAAAATACTTTTTATATTATACTATATTTAGTATAAACATATTTTAAAAATTTTTTTAATTATTTTATTAATTAATATTAAATAAAATCAAGTTTAATAATATTAAAATATCTAATAGATTTTTATATATTTTATATTCAATTTTAAAATTTTTTTGAATTTTTTATATATTTTTTAAATATAATATAAAGATCTAAATTCAATTTATTAACAAAAAAACTTATTTAATTAAAATTAAAAAAGAAATTATATTCAATAAACAAAGAAATTTATAATTTGAAAACAAATTGTTAAAAAAAGATAAAAAAAGAATATAAAAAACAAATATTAAATTCTTTTTATAACAAAGCAAAAATATTAATAATAACAAAAAAGAAAAATAACAAAAAAATTATTTATTCAATTAGAAAAATATTTTTTACAATTATAAAAAGTAAAATATTATTATTTATTTTTGATAAAGATTAACAAAAACTAAAATAATAGTTTTTATCAATATTAAAAATTGTACATGTCAAATTATTAAAAGAGTAATAATTGCTATTAATTATCAAAGTTTACTAAATTATAATATATTATAACTTATTTTGATCAGATAAAGAATGAATAAGATATTACTCTAATAAATAAAAATTATCTAATACTTAACACTTTTCTAATAAATTAATAATATATTTTATTAATAAAATTATATAATTAATAATTAATAATATTTATAAATAATTTGTTATTATAATTAGAGTAATAATATATATAATAACAATTAAAAAATAATATAATAATATTAAAATTTATTAATTAAATATAATAAAATATAAATTTTTTTCTTTATATAAAATTTTTTAATTTTATATTAAAATAAAAATAATATTATATATTTTAATATATAGTAATAGAATTATAAAATTATACTTGTAATTTTATAGTAAAAATTGAAATTTTATTTTATATAAAAGTTTTTAACTTTATTAATAAATATTTTTTTAATTTTATATTAAAATAAAGATTATAAATTATAGTTTAATATATATTTTTTAAATTTTATAAATTTTTTTCTGATAAAATTATTCTAATTACAAAGTTATTGCAAAAATTTTTTATAATTAAATATAAAATTAATTATAAAAATTTTTATAATAATTTTACAATTAAAACAATTTTATTATAAAAAATTCAAAAAAAATATATGTTAAACTATAATTTATTATTTTTGTTTTAATATAAAAATAAAAAATATTTGTTAATAAAATTGAAAATCTTTATATAAAATTTTAATTTTAATTTTTATTATATTTTATTAATAAAATTATATATATTCTATTAGTTACTATATGTATATTTTTTAAATTTAATATAATCAAATTTTTTAATTGCATATAGAGCTAATTATTTTTATATGTTTTAATTATAAAAAAATAATTAATTTTTATGTAATTAAAACAACTTAATCAAATTAAATCTAAAAAATTATATGTTAAATATATAATATTATCTTTATTTTAATATAAAAATAAAATTTTTATTATTAAAATTGAAAATTTTTATATAAAAAACAAATTTATATTTTACTATATTTAATTAATAATATTATATATTTTATTTTTAAAATATAATTATAATAAAATTTTATATAATATTATTATAATAAAAATTAATTATACTATAATTCTCAAAATTATAAAATTATATATATAATTTTTATTTTTATTATATATTATTAATAAAATTATATATATAATTTTATAATTTTATTAGTTACTATATAATAATTATTATAATTAAATTATAATTTAAAAATTTATTAATAAAATTTAAAATTTTTATTAGATTTATTAATAAAATTATATATACTTATAATGATAATAAAAATAATATAACAATATTAAAATTTAAATCAAAAAATTAATTAGTTAAATTCTAAGCAAAATTTTTTATTTATTATATATTTTAATAGTTTTTTATTCAAAAAAATTAAAATTTAGTTATTTTAGTTTTAATTACTAAATATAAATATAATTAAATATCAATTTGAAAGTAATTTAAATAATTTAAAAAATTCAAATAGCTTCAAATATAATTATAATTATAATTATAATTATTTATTAAAAAAATTATTATTATAAATATTTTTATAATTACATTTAATTTATCTTGTTATTAAGTAATTACAATTTTATAATTATATTATTCAATTAACAAGTAATTACAACATTTGTTTTATTAAAAAAATTTTCTATATAAAATTTTTTGAATGTTATAATTATAAAATCTGAAATAAATACATGTTAAATATAGGTTATTATTTTCATTTGAAAATTTTTATATAGAAAGGAAATTTCATTTTTTAGATAGGTGATCCGTTTTTTATAAATGCGTGATAATCTATCATTTAAATAGAAATAATAAAACACACTATCAGTTGAAATACTTTATTGATTTCGTGATAGTAATTTTCAATACAAGACGTATATTTGTTAAGAAAAAATTTCAAAATATATTATTATCTATAATTTTTCATTGCTTAGATGTGAGAAATACGATTAAATAAAAAAACATCAGGGTAAAGAAATTGTCAATGCAATAACAAAAAGGATAATTATTGTACGCCTCTCAATTAGAATTAATCTTTGGTATGGATATTGAGTTAAAAACTTATGCAAATATAAAACTTTAATTAAAGTCGTAAATTTTCAGTTTTCAAGAATGATAAACTTGTATTTTTAAGTTTATAACTTCAAAACAAAAAAATGAATTTCACATATAACCTATCATTGTTACACATAAATGTCATTGTTTTTGCTGCGTTTTGTGCTCAATTATCAAACTCCTGTCTTCTTGGATAATTTATATCAATTGACTGTACTACTTTTATAACTAGTAGATAATCCCATCCTCATAGGATAGGTGCGTTTATTTATTAGACAAATAAACAAGAATAACGTTATTCGTCATACATGTGTACATTACATACATACACATTTATTATTAAATCAATAACGATCGATCAGCTACGAGTTAAATTTACTATTTATGAACAGATGGGCTGGTTGAATCTTTTTTATGTATGACAGTGAGATTTATTTATTTTTGATAGTCTACTATAAATACTATTACTAATTTTATTCTAAATGTTTATTTGCAGATCTTGAATACTGTTTAATGCATTATGTTATTCTATCATAGAAATCATTTTGAATTTTACATTTTGTTTACCACTTATTGCACGTTCTATCGGTTCATTATTAATTAGTTGATCATTCATTCCAAGCATTTACTCTTCGCCAATCATTAAACTAATCATAATTAGAAACAAGATGAAAAACGATATAATTTACGTTTTTTATTAATATAAATCTGAATGATGACCTAATTTTAATATTCAGACATTATCTCTATGACCATTCAAGCGAATTATTCAGATAGATACCCGTTGGTGGTAATATTTTGAGAAAATCATCACCTAGTAAAGTAAAGAAGAGAATATAATCTTTATTGCAAAGCAATAAAATATTTTTTCTTTCTTCTTTTTAAAATGCGGAGATTTGATAGCATTTAGCATTAAAAAAAATAGGCTTTCGGATTATGAACTCAAAATCAAACCGCACCCTATGCCATTGAGATAAAAAGCGCGAAAAAAACCTGTTATATGAATAGTTAATTTAGTTAGATTTGTTACATTATCGTCGACCCCTTAAAATGGCTAACTTTCCCTCCAAACGAGCAGACTAATCAAATTTAGGTTTAGCTCATCAAAGTCGCACAAAAATATTCCGGCAGAAAAACACGAGTACAATCTTTCCTCTTTTTTGATCGATCGCACAAACACTATATCTTCAAAGTACCCGAGTTTTGTGAAGTAAACCGAAGTGGAATGACAACATTTTGTCGAATGACCCGGAGAGTAAAATTAATTAATTAATGATCGGTTATATGTATATGTAACGTATAAATGATTAAAATATTAACGAAAAAATAAACAGGACCCTGCATTATGACTAACCTAAAAAAATATCGGAATGGAAAACAGTAAAATTGTATACCAAACACCGAATGAGTATTTGTATTCCACTTATCGTTGTATTTGGAAAAAAAGGGGATAAAATTATGTGTAAAGCAGAGCTAAACTTTGAAAACATGTTAAGAGCGCTTTAATTTTTTGTTTTTCGCGTCTTCTTCACCCCCTAAACTTAAATGAATGCCATTATTGAAAAAAAAATTTTTTGTGAATGTCATCCATTGTCAATCCATTATATACTTTACCTCAACCTGTTTTTATTATTAATCCAAAAAAGAAATCTGCTACAAATTTTACATTTGGCTTTTCCGGAAAATCCTTTTGTATGTTGTGCTTGTCAAAAGCATTATAATTTATTTTTCCTCTTTTGGTATTTCTTGTATTTTCAACTCCCGAGTTATGATTTATTATTATGCGCACTTTGAATTGAAAGTTTTGCCGGTTCATACCAATGCACGTTTCTTTTCCGTGTATTAGCGAGCACCTTAGTATCAATTTTTGCTTTTTTGTCTTTCTTTCTACTCGGACTCGGTTTGGTCAGGTGGAGTCATGATATGCTGAATAATAGTAATACTGATACTAACAAACTAAGCAATTCTAGACTTGCTGTAATTATGTTATTGATGCATATATGCTATGTTAGCATTTAATAGTCAGATATAGTCTTGAAATATTCATATTTAAAACGCATAGGAAAACAATTTATAAACAGGTTTTTTTATTATATTACGATGATTTATATGTAAAAGAAAAAGTTTTTTTGAAAGCGAAGCTACAGCCTCCCTGCTAAAAATAACGATAGTGGTAACACTATCAGTCGTATTAGTAATAAGTAATAGTTTATGTTATCTCTAATATTTATATACTATGATGTAATATAATATAATATAATATAATTATCTAGATAAAATATTTTCTCGTATTTAATAATTTGTTTGCTGAGAGACGCGTTCACTTCACATTATGTACAAATTTATATTTATATAAAAAAAGAAATAAAGGGAAAAGTAAAGAAAAATAAATACAATAAATGTCTTTTTCTTTTTTTAATTTTTTTTTAAAAAGAAGAATAATTAAAAAGTTGATGCTGAGGATGCTGATTATGCTCCGTTGTTATTATTGGATTTGTTCCCAAAACATTATTATTATGCTGTTGTTGCTGTTGTTGTAACAATGAAGGAATAGATAGCGATAGTGAATGATGTTGGGTTACGTGGGATATCGGATGTTGCACGTGTGTAGCGTTATTAAGTTCTAATCGAACCTCTCTCAAGTATGAATCTTGTAATGAATCAGCGTCGTCCATCAGTTGTAATTGCATTTGCTTTGTCGATTGATGCGTTAAATTATTAATTAATATTCCAGAAGATTCCAATTGATTTGGTGGTGACGATAATCCTATAGGTGTAGTTGGTGTTAGTGGTGGTGCTTGATTCATGTGTCCATGAAATTGACTAAAAGGTAACCACGAGTTATTCAATGTCGGTGTCCCCAACGATGTAAAATGAACATTCGCAAGATCCGCTGGAAAATCATTATTAATACTATTATTCATTAGGTCGAAATTAGATTCTAAAACTGGAGTTAAAAGAATGTTGTTATTATTATTCATTAGTTTAAGATTTTGATTAAAATGCTGTGGTGGTAGTGATGTTGTCGTCGTTATTGGATGTTGTTGTAAAAATGCATGAGAGGCATTAAGCAAATCAGGATCATTTAAGTTGTCCACGACACAACTCATCAAGAATGGATTTTCGACAAATGATTCTTCTTGATGCTGTTGAACAGAGAAAATGCTTCTTTGATCAACGGGTGACGGTAAAGGAGAAGCATAAACAGATGATTGGTCCCTTAATGATGTATCGGTCACAGGGGGATAAGAGAGTGAATGTTCTGGTGTTGATTGTTCTGCATTCAAGTTATTTGATAAAAATTGATTATGCATATTATCATTTATCCATAGTACTGTGTTGCTATTATTATTATTATTATTATTATTATTATTATTATTATTATTATTATTATTATTATTATTATTATTATTATT